AAGAGTGAAAAATTGAAGGGGGTCTGAATACTTTCCGTACCCACTGTATATATATATATATATATATATATACAGTGATGCATTTTTTTCCAGGATTCTTTGATGATTACAAAGTAAAAAAAAAATATATATATATATATATATATATATATATTTGTAAAAGTTTACACATCTTTACTGTCACTTTTGATTAATTTAATCCTTGCTGAATAAGTGGTAATTTCTTTAAAGATAACATCTTCGCCACACTTTAGATCAAAAGTGTCTATTTTCTTTAGAATTTCTGTAATAAATAATTTCACTAATCAGTAAAATATTTCTTATTATTATTTTTATAATTTATAAATAAATTTATGGGGGGGGAGAATGTTCTTGCACTGTAAGCATAACCATAGCCATATATGATGTGATGATTTGTTGTATGATAACTCATAGAATTGATGTGTGATTATGAGTTTCAGAGTATGTTTATACCTTGTAGACATCATAGGAGTCAATGCGTGTGTCGAAGCACATGTAGAGGTTATTTAGCATCTCAACAACTTGTAGTGGATTACAGGAGGCTGATATCACAGTAAAACCCACAATGTCTGAGAAAAAAATAGTCACCTGGAAGAGAATATGTGTATTAATTGCTTCCTCGAAAAAATGAACAACCAAATACATCTTACCACATTCTTGGCAAAGCTAATCAAAAAAACCACAGCATGCTTCCTAGATTCCTACATTTTCTTAGCATGCTGCTATGTATGTAGTTTCATTGGCATTGCTAGGTGGACCAATAACAGACCAACCCCAACTCCCTATATGATATTCATCCACAGGTGAAAATCTGATTAACTTCATATCAAACTGCAGGCTTTGCAGCATCATTCATATTTGGAGCATGAACAGCGCAGGACGAGTTAGGTGCAAGTTTAATGCTTAGCACTAGGGATTTGTTCAGATCACTAACCCTGATTTCAAGAAATAATAATAATAACAGCAAGTAATAAATGTACTAAACAAGTAATAAACCACTAATAAATGTAATCTGCTATGAATCCGATGTGAGTTATGTTTATTTACCTTACGCATACTCAACACACCCTGTAAACCATGGTAACCTGCAATTATTACCTTATAGAGCTATTTCTACCTGATTTAATGCATACAAATGAGTATAGACTGGACAAGTGATTTGACTCGAATAAAACCAGTTATTTTATTTGTTACCATTTTTAGATTACCATCTTTTTCAGTGCAGATATAGTGTTGCTATTATGAAATGTATACTCATTCTGCTACATGTGGCGCTATAAGTCCAGTTCTTCAAAATATCTAGCTTCAAGTGCTCTAAATCTAAGGGGACGGGCTTCAGGTGCACAAACTGCCCTTATAGACATGTGTCATTTACCCCACTCCCTTATGAGCTGTTTTATCTCCTGATGAATATGGAATACCATAATTACAGGCAATTACTACAACAAAAAGAACAAACAGAATGGCAGCATGTGCGCTTTCCTGACACTGCCAACATCCCTAATGAATATGCTTGTCTTTTTAGACTTGAGTTTGATTTGTTAAAAGGGAATGTCGGAGGACTTCTGTTTTAGGATATCATATGGGAAACTATAAGCAGAAATAGAAAGCTTATAACCATGTACCTTCTCATAACTCTCAGCTTCCACATGTTTGTGTTGGCGTAGCTGCTTGGCCACAGATTTGGGCAGCATCTGATGAAGGAGATCTTCTGCAAGACGTCGCTCTCTCTTCAGGTCTTCTGTCTTCTCCCTGAGGCTCTGAGCGTAGTCCTGGATCCATTCTGTCATTTGTTTGAAGGACAGCAGCACTATGGGGTAAATGAGACCGGCGATGGCGAGCAGGCAGATCTTCAGACTGATGCTGGACGAGATGTCTCTGGATTTCAGTTTCAGAGCCCATCCAGCTCTGGCATGAAAACATCTCAGTGTGTTCTCCAAGGCCAGCTTCAACTCTGTGGATCCACTGGAAGTTGTGGCAGCAGAGAAGATTAAATCTTTTATATTAGTCTGGTTTAGCACCAAATCAGTGCTTTCCATCCAGCAGTGATGGAGGCTTTCAGACATGTCTTTTATGACTGACATGAGTGTTGTTGCATGCCGTATTTCATCCACCTTCGTTTCACCTGTTGTCAACCGATAGTTCAACTCGTGGACAGTTAGGAGCAGTTTCAGAGCAAGGACATCTGTCCAGTCCGGGTTGTGTTTGAGGAGACCGATGTCAACATCTCTGACGCCCCATGTGTTTAATATCTTCTCAATTGCTAGAGTAAAAACTGTGGTTTCATTAGCACCCATTATCTCACCTCTCCATGTAGCGTTGAGAAACTCTGAAAGGTTGGATTGAAGATGCTCACAAAACTCAAGTAACTCAACACCACAGGGCTGACCCAAACTGTCCATATCAGTACTAGCACAACAACGGTTAACTGTGAGCATTATCAAGGACCAGGAGCTCAGAAACTCTCTCTGCTTGATATTATGAACTGTACTCTCTCTGAGGTTTCTTAATGTTTGGAGCTCCATAACTAGTCTGAGCGTAACATTTGTCCTACAGGATGAAAGCTCTTTAAGCGAAGCTTCAGTGGCTTGCCATTGAGCCAAAGATGAGTTGAAGTCCATGGTCACAGCAGAGAGAAGCGCCAGGAAAGAGATGACACAAGCAACAAGTATTCTGCGAACAGTACGGCTGCGACTGCCACAACTGAGCAAAGACAGCCTGTGAAAAGAGTGCAAACAAAACTCAGTCACATATGGTGAGCATTTAAGTATTTCACTTCGAGAGGAACTGACTTCATTACATTAAATATATTGCAAACAACGCACAAAAATGTATGTTAGTTCTTAACATTTTATTCGATCATCTCTGAAATTAATTCTGCATTTTAAATGTAACTTAGGTTTCTAATACTCAACCACAACTTCGAATTAAATTAAACAGATAATTCAGTGTCCTGTTTGTTAACAAACATAAGTTAAAACCAGAGCTGGTTACATGCAATCTGGACTTCATAATCAGATTCCAAAGATCAAGTACTCGTAATTAGAATATATTACATTTTATAATGCTCATAATCAGATTACAGTTACTTTTTAATGGATTACATGATTACATATTATTCACACAATGGCAATAAATTATACATAATTTATTGATTCTTCCTTTTTGTCTTTTAAATTTTCCTTTCTAAAAATCCTACCATTTAGCTTTAACTATATTCAATTTGTCGTGTAAATACATTTGCAAGCCATGCTTTTCGTATTTGGGGGGAAAAAGCACCTCTCATACAATTACAGTGCCTTGCGAAAGTTTTCATACCCCTTCATTTCTTTCACATTTTGTTATGTTGCTGCCTTAAGTTAAACTGCTTTAAATTACTTTTTTCCACATCAGTCTACACTCCATACACCATAATGACAAACCACATCAATCTACACTCCATACACCATAATGACAAAGCAAAAACAGAATTGTCACAACTTCGTAAATTTATTAAAAATAAAAAAACAAATAAGTAACGAAATATTTAGCTGAAGCACCTTTACAGTCTCAAGTCTTTTTTTGTTTGATGCGACAAGCTTTGCACATCAGCATTTGGCAATTATCTGCCATTCCTCTCCTCATCTCTTCACCTCTCAAGCTCTGTCAGGTTGGATGGGGGCAGATGCACATTTTCAGGTTTCTCCAGAAATATTTGATTGGGTTCAAGCTCAGGCTGTGGCTGGGCCACTCAAGGCCATTCACAGAGTTGTCTATAAGCCACTCTTGCTGTGCTTATGGTCATTGTCCTGTTGGAAGTTGAGCCTTCTGCCCAGTCTGAGGTTCTGAATGCTCTGGACACTCTGCAATTGATGAGCGGAGCTGGTTTCCTTCAAACATGATGCTTAGAATTAAGGTTCATCAGACCAGAGACTCTTGTTTCTCAGAGTCTGAGGGTCCTTTAGGTGCTATTTTGTAAATTCCAAGTGTGTTTTCATGTGTCTACACTGAGGAGAGGATTGAGTCTTGCCACACCGCCATAAAGCACAGATCGGTGTAGTGTTGCAGTGGTGTTTGTCCTTCTGTAGGTTTCTTCTATCTCCACATATGATCATGGAGCTCAACTAGAGTGACCATCAGGTTCTTGGTCACCACTCTAACCAAAGCCCTTCTCCATCAGTTGCTCAGTTTGGCCAGGAGGCCAGCTCTATGACCAAGAACCATCAGGTTCTTGGTCACCACTCTAACCAAAGCCCTTCTCCATCAGTTGCTCAGTTTGGCCAGGAGGCCAGCTCTAGGAAGAGTCCTGGTTGTTTCAAACGTCTTCCATTAAGGGTAACAGAGACTACATGCTTCTGTGACCCTTCAATGAAGCAGCATTTTTTTCTGAACTCTTCCCCAGACATGTGGCTTGACACAAACCTGTTTCTGAGCTCTACAGTCAGTTCTTTTGACCTCAGTGCTTGCTTTTTTCTCTGATATGCATTATCAGCTTTTAGACCTTTAATTAAATGTGTGTGCCTTTCCAAATCATACCCATTCAATTGAAATTGCCACAGGTTAACTTCACTCAAAGTGTAGTAACATCTACAAGTAATATGAATGCTCCTGAGCTAAATTGCAACTGTCCCAGGTAAGGGTATGAATACTTATGCAATGAAATCATTTTATTTTTTTATTTTTTATAAATTTGCAAAGATGTTAAAAATCATTTTTTTGCTTTACCATTATGGTGTATGGAGTGTAGATTGATGTGAAAAAAAAAGTAATTTAAAGCAATTTAGCATAAGGCAGCAACATAACAAAACGTGAAAAAAAGAAGGGGCATGAATACTTTCGCAAGGCACTGTAGACCATATGTGACCCTGGATCACAAAACCAGTCTTAAGTCGCTGGGGTATATTTGCAGCAACAGCCAAAAATACATGCATTGCTAAGAACTTCATTTGGACAAATTTAAAGGCGATTTTCTCAGTATTTTGATTTTTGTGCACCCTCAGATTCCAGATTTTCAAATAGTTGTATCTCGACCAATTATTGTCCTATCCTAACAAACCATACATCAATGGAAAGCTTATTTATTCAGCTTATTATTTTATTACAAAGCCACTGCAGTTCTTCCCAGTTTGGGAAACCCTAGATTAATCTAATGTTTAATGCATTTTATGATATTAATATAAACATTTTTTTTTTTTTTTTTTAAATTTTTTCTTTCTCTTTGCCTTTTTTTTTTTTTT